ACAAGGGACTTATGCTCCTCGCCCAAATACAGCTCCGTACCAAAAATTCCCAGCGCTAGGCCGAGCAGCACAAAGCGAGAGGCGTAAAAGATCGGCTCATCAGTCGCTTTGCAGGCGCGAGCCACTTATGTGTCACGGACCCGCGATATATTGAAAGCCGTCCAAGTCTGCGGAAATTGTTAAAGCTACGTAAACGGTCAACCAATTTCTACCCGAAATATAGATCTGGGTCTAGACCTATTTTTGTTTCCCCATACGAAGTGCCGAGGAGTGCCCAGATGTGAAGCCGGGGGCAACGACGGTCGTTTTTTTTATATCCATCAGTGTAACCGCTGATTCCTAATTTATGTTATAGAGTCATTAGTGTAATTAGTTTAGTAAATTTCTTTTGGTTGTGTTTTAAATTCTGTTCGGAAGAAATAGCAAGTGGAATGTGTGACAGGGCGAAAGTGAACAACGGTTAACCGGCAGAGGAGAGCGTGAGTTTTTTTTGTTGTAAAATTATTTCTCCAGCTTTCGTTTTAGGAACGTTGCCGCAGTCCATGGAAGCGCTTTCATCGCTGTTTCAACGCATTTATTAAAACAAATCAAGGAAGGCCGTAAGTGATCCCAAAAACATAAAGATAAAATATTGGAGGTTGTTTGTTATTAGCAACTATTTATTGTATAACCGAAAAAGAAAAAGATCTCACGTAGTCAGGGGCTTCTTCGCTTAAGAGAGGCTGGGCGCTCTCCCTTATGTCTTGCTGGCAACCATAAGCGCTTACGCCGCGCATAAGAGACAGCCCTCTTAAGAACAAGGCACAAAAGGGAAGATGCGAGGCTGGTCGCTCTGACGTTCTTTTATGCTTTCTACTTGCGGTTGCTTTCGCTAATGCACTTGAATAACTGACCTGCCATAACGATCGCTGCGCACAGTTTTTTTTTCATTCCCTTTTGCATATTTATTTATTATTATTATCTATTTGCCTAACATAAAAACTAGAGATATGTACCCTTCCCTTCCTTCAATTTGTAAGTTAAATTTCAATCTAAATTGTATTATTAAGAGTTAAGCATTTATTAGTTTACGAGTTGCGATGCATGTGCTATTGCTCAATATGAAATATAGGATTTAACATGAATCGGGGCTAGAGTTCTAATATGCGGGGACCATGCTGGGCAAATGAGGGTAATGGGGTTGGATAGGAGGCTGTAAGAGCCTTCTTTATGGGATCACCGGATGAACCGGGAGCGGTGATCATGGTAGGGTGGGCATGAGGGGTCACAACAACACCGTGGCACGACTTGTATGTGTGTATGTGTCCGTGTGCGTAGTTAGGTGTATTTGCTCTTGTACATATTTGTGCCGAAACTTCGCTTGCACGTGAAATTTGAATGAACGTTACTGTGTCAGTATTATGATTGTTGGAGTAGAGCTGTGTCCCGTCCGTTCTGGGAAATAAAAAAAAAACCCCCCCATTTCTTGCCGATGAGACGGAAGCCGGAACAAGCACGTGCCCGGACGGGAGACAAATCATCACCTGCTCAGCCTTCCGTGAAGGTTTGGAAATATCCAATATGCTACAGACGCCCGAATGATTTTGGATGTAAACAGTTTTTATTAGCTAGTTCAGTTTCTTCGTTTTCTTTTTTAATTTTACTTTTCCCTTACTGATTACTTTGTGGGCGATTTTTATAAAATTTCCACTTACATGTTTTCTATTTCGTGTTTCCCCAATTGTATCTTCTTAAATTGTAGTGGTTCTCCAGCTGGCCGTCTCGTATGCTTCTTCCTGTCTGTCGTCGCCGCTGCCCAAAGCCGTCCGCTCTGGTGTAACAAATTTTGGATTTATACTCGGGGCTACGAGTTGTTTGGTGCACTTTTGGCACGCACTTCTTGTAATTTTTTGTGCTTCTTTTTGAGCGGGCGTTGTCTCCGCACTCATATTTTTTAGAATTTAGATATTTTGTTTTAACTTCCCTTGTTTTTTTTTAACTTTAACCGAATGCTTTCTTTAACTTTTTTGAGCGGGCGTTGTCTCCGCACTCCTTTGTTTCAGATTTTATTCGTTTTGAATTCTTGTTTCTTTGTTTTTACATGTTGACCGAATTTTGTCTTTAACTTTGTTGAGCGGGCGTTGGCTCCGCACTCTTTTATTTCAGATTTCAGATTTTGCGTTCTAACATCTTTTCTTTCCGGTTTTATTTGTGGGCCAAATATTTTCTTTAACTTTTTGAGCGGGCGTTGTCTCCGCACTCAGTACTTTGCCGATTTACACTATAGCGGGCGTTGTCTCCGCACTACACTATACGTTAGCGTTGGGCGCCAGTAAATAATAAGTTTTCGGGTTATTTGGAATAATATGATGAACACTTTATTCGTAATTATGAGTTGTTATAAACCACAAGGCTAACACCGAAAAATGTAATTGCCACTCGGTGGATCAATATAAAAGTAAACTTAATGTACCCAAACTCCCAGTCTCGAGCCCTCACTCATCGTCCGCCGGGCCCGTCGCAGTTCATCAGAAAGGCTGACATTGCGCCTCGTGTCTGGTATCCGATGCAGGCTGGCATCCGGCGGTGTCGGCGGCCGCGCTCCCACGGTCAGCGAATTTGCCTACTCAGTAGTCTTGCAGAAATCGCTCCGCCCAGTGGCCAATTTGGTTAACATTTGTTAACTTATACATCTTGGCTAAGGTAGATTATACTATTCTCTTCTTATTATTTCCTAATTGGTTCATAGTGGAAATTAAACATAAAATCGTCTTTAACCGGTTCCCATTGGAGTCCTGTTGTAACGGATTCATTCTCCTCAATGGTTAATACTTAATTTTCTTGGTCATCTGTGACGCCTTCTATAATTTCTGGGATATTTGTTATCCACTTTCTTAAGTTAAACCCAACCTTATTAAACTCCCGGTTAAATTACTTTACATGCTTTTTAGCATCCAGTATCGAGTCGGCACCTGTCATCAGGTCGTCCATATAAAAATCATTCTTTATAATTTCCCTAATTGCTTGATTTTTGCAACTATCTGCTATTGCAACAAGCACCCTGGTTGCTAAGTAGGGCGCTGAAGCTGTACCGTACGTAACCGTTGTGAGTTTATAAGTACTCTTTTAACTTTTCGTTTGGATTATCTCTCCAAATTATATGCAAATATTGTTGATCTTCTTTATCAACATTAATTTGCCGGTACATTTTTTAAATGTCCGCAGATATTAGAAATGGTCATTTACGCCATTTCGCCATAATATCGAAAATATCTTTTTGGATTCTTGGTCCAACCCACATGATATTATTTAAGCTTTTATGGTTTGTGGTGAAGTTTTTGGTGAGGTTTTTGCTGAAGCATCGAAAACCACCCTCAGCTTTGTGGTTAGACTGGAATCTCTTATGACTCCTTGATGGGACAAATAATATTTCCCATCAGACTTTTTCATCAGTTTTGGAAGAATAATTTCTTCAATATTCAGAGGACCTTTATTATAATCACGAATTTTTAGCGATAATGTAACTTTGAACTTTGCAGTGCAAGATTCTGAAGGTCACACTCCACTTACCTCGGTGTTCGCACTTTTTCGTACTAAGTTTATTATTTGCGCAGCTTCCTCTGAAATTATGGTACATTGCGACCCACAATCAATTAGAGCTCTAAAGTTTTTACAGCCACCATTCCTTGCCCTTACTTTTATAAGTGCTGTGGCTAAGAACGCTTGTTCTTATGTTAATCAAGTGCTAACATTTTCCCTCTTATCGTAGGGAATATGGAGCATCGTATGATAAGGTTCTTTACAAATCCCACATAAAATTTTGGAAGATCAGACAAATCGATATCTTCTTTTTTTATCGCCATATATCCACGCTGTTTTCCTGAGCTACGGTTTGCATCCTAACTTCCAGGTTGCTTAAAAGCTTTGAATATCAAATTCCAAATCGCCGAACTGGTCGTCAAAGCTGTCGTTTGTCATTTTTGAGCTCAGTTTTTTGCTGAGAAACTAAATTTTTCCCTTTCTCATTCTATACTCTCCCAGTTTAGCCTGATTAAACTTCTGTATGGTTTGTTATAAAATCATCTTCAGGTTTTCTACTAATTTTGAGCTCTATGTCTTCCTGCAAAGTTACAGTCTCCACTGATTGTAACTGTGAAATTTCTGCCTTCCCTTTCGTTAATGTTTCATTATTTTTTGACTCTACATACTTTTTATGTATGTCTTCTATATTTTGAATCATTTTTTCGTACTGCTGTCTCTTATAGTAGTCATGATCGACTACTCCATATGTTAACAGTGCAGAAACATTGCAAAACTTTGGAAGCCCCAAATCTATAATAAAAAGTCAGTTACTCATAATCAGTTACTCGATACTCAAAATAAGTATTGGGGTATATTAGATTTGTGGTGAAAATGGATGTGTGTAACGTCCAGAAGGAATCGTTTCCGACCCCATAAAGTATATATATTCTTGATCAGCATCAATAGCCGAGTCGATTGAGACCTGTCTGTCTGTCCGTCCCTATCAGCCCCTAGTGCGCAAAGACTAGAGCTAGAGCAACGACATTTTATATCCCGCCCGCCCACTTCCGCCCCCACAAAGGGCGAAAACCTGTGGCAACAATATTGAAGATACGAGAAAACTAAAAACGCACAATCATAGAGAATGACCGTATCTATGAGATTGCTGATCTGGATCTGATCATTTTTATAGCCAAAAGGAACAAATTAATTTGCAGTGGCTACGCAGCGCCCGACGACATGTTCAGACACGTTATGTCTCTCCCGCACGCACACATTGTCGCTGAATATAGCCATACTGACTATGTATCGGGTATAAATGTAGAATTGCGGTCTCCGCAGCAGCTCACAACGTTCCCCCTCGTTTGTTCTTGTGTTATCAGTAAAAAATGTTTCTTAAAAATAGAAAATAAAACTGTAAATAGTTACTACATGACAAACCTTTTCCCTTTCTTTTTACATGTGACGATTTTCCGATGTCTTTCCATACATGTAAATAGTTCGAACAACATTCAAATATCTCCATCCAAAACAATATTCTGATGGTTGCTGGGCTAAAACCGCTAAATGATTGGCGTTCTTATACTCTTGATAATCATCCGGGGTTATTGTTAATACGAAACCCGTTTACAGAACGAGGTCAGCGTTATTGGATTGCTCGCTGTCTGCGAGACTATCCGAGAACACCAAACAAGGTTAATTTAAATGAAAGACTGTTCCCGGATTCAGCTAGATCTGACTGGTGGAAAGAGCTTCATCAATGTGCCAATATCATTGAGATGCAACGACTAAAATTTGCGATGCGTTGGACAACATTTGGTTATCATCATAATTGGGACACCAAGATTTACGACGAGTCTATGCGTTCACCATTTCCAACTGATCTGAAAAGCATGTGTATTTTTTTTTCATCTATTTTGGGCTTCAATAATTTTAAGCCCGAAGCTGCTATTGTCAATTACTACCCAATTGGCACAAGTTTATCTGGTCACACAGATCATTCTGAACCTAATCATTCTGCTCCACTGTTTTCTTTTAGGTAAAGTGTCAAACTCGATAATATATTAAAAATCATATAATTAATTTGTATATTTACCACACAGCTTTGGTCAGACAGCAATATTTCTCATCGGTGGAAAAACTAACGATGAAATACCAACCGCATTGTACATCCACAGTGGTGACGTTTTAATAATGTCAGACAAATCCCGTCTTTGCCATCATGCAGTGCCACGTATTATCAAAACAAAGGTATCTTGGACTTCGGAACTGCCAATTGAAAACATCGAAACTGAAATAATCGGAAAAAACTTATTGGATAATATCTTGTATCAGAAAGTGGGCGACTGGAATTTCTGGAAACCGTTTTCTCGTTATCTAGATGATTCACGAATTAATATTAATGTACGACAAGTGCTCAAACCAGGCGATAGTACCCTGTCACAAAATAATACTACCTTGTAATATATTAATGTACGACAAGTGCTCAAACCAGGCGATAGTACCCTGTCACAAAATTATACTACCTTGTAATATAAATTGAATATAATAAACTTAAACGCTTGCATATGCTTCTTACTATATCTTAGCAACGCAAACAAGCAATCATCTCAGACCACAAAATGCACATGACCAACATCTGTCAATAATAATTGTTGTTAGCTGGGCATTTCCCACGAGAATTTGTTTAGAATTAAACAATTTACTTTATTCTCGACGATTTCGACACGATTCTAGCCGTGTTTATGGCTAAAGGTCAAAACATATATGTATATGTATTAGAGTGTCCCTTATTTTTCAAAAGTAAAATTTGAGGACGCATACCGTCTATTTTTTTTTACTTTTGTATCCAAATAGGTAAAAAAATTGTTTTGGCTTTTTTAAATTTCATTAAACCGTGCCGAATCGTGTTAGACGTTGTGATTTTAACCACGTATACATTTTACATTTAGGTTTCTGGCAGCTTGCTTGTTACTCGCGTCAAATTTAATTTGTATTCCTTATTTGACTAAATATAATATATATAAACATTTAAAAGTATATGTTTTAAATATCTATAAAATATATAACAAAAATGTTAAATTTAAATCACAATGAATACTTGGGTTTTTATAAAGCGATGTGGCATCTCTGTTCACTGTTCCATGAACATATGGCAGACTCCGTTACTTTTGTGTTTTTGGCGGCAAAGCGTAACAAGTAATAAAACAATTTTAACAATGGCTCAAGTGTTACGCACCTCCAAGCCGCACATTTTTTTAGGTGGTAATATAAATCATCGAATATTTGGCGCAAAACTTCCGTCGAATTGCCAAGTGCTTGCAGTTCTGTTTTACAATACGCGTGAAATAAAAATGACAACAAATGAAAGTGCTAATCTGGCGCTTCGCGAATGCATTATCTTTTGGGAAAAAGCAAGAATACCCACAAAATCTTTGCCTAACTGTGTAAAGAAGCTACTATGCTTACATCAAGCTTGGAGAGACCTTCAAAAAGATGCTCAAAAAGTATCAGAAAAGTATAGATCCCGTAGAGAGAATTTTGTTAAAACTTTGGATTTGTTTGATATTGCCCATTCCGAAGCAATGGAAATAATCAAAAACTGAAGACGATAAAAAGTTTCTGCAGTGCCAAAAAAAAAGCAGGGTGACCCGGCTGCTTGGGTGATGTGGATAAAGAATTGGAAAATAAGGAAGAACAAGGCGTTTTAAAGAAGAAACCCGGCAAAAAAGCATGATTCTTCATTGGGTGCGCCTTCTTCGAATTTCAATCTGCACACACAGGTAATTTATATAAAATTTTTCTTAATGATTTTTAGAACTTTACTATCTAACTTTGTAGGATGATTTAATGTCAAGCTTGGAAGATATAGCTGAAAGCTCTCATAGCTCCATGATAACCAAACGTATTCAGCCTCAAAACATAAAAAGTCGTGGTAGCAATCACTCCGAAGCTCGTGGCTGCCTTGCAGTGCCACATCTGCAAAATTCGACAGGTAAAGAGTAAGCATAAGCTGTTTGGAATGCGGTTCTCATATGGAATGAAGATTGCGTACAAATTCTTTGTTTTGATACAACAGCTTCAAACACAGGTCGGTTTAACAGCAAGTGCTTATTGTTCGAGCACAAATTTGATAGAGATATTTTATATTTTGCCTGTCGCCATCACATCCACGAGCTTTTACTGAAAAGTGTATTTGAAGTAAAAGTGACGGAAATAGCAAGAAGCCCAGATATTCCCATTTTTAAAAAGCTTAAGAATACTTGGAAAAATCTGGACCTTTCAAAAATACATTCTGGTCTACAAACTGTGGAAGCAAACTTTAGCTGTTTTAAATATAATAAGTGGTTGGAATATTTTCAAGCGAAACTGAAAGAAAATTATGCTAGAGGAGACTTTTGGGAGTTAATTGAACTCTCCATAATATTCTTAGGTGGCGACATTGGACGAGAACAGAAAGTAAGACCTCCTGGCGCGATGTATCAAGCTCGTTGGATGGCACGGGCCATTTACACCTTAAAAATGGCATTTTAAGCTCTCAGTTCAAGCTCAGTGAAAAAGAAATCGCAATCATTTTTTCATAGTATCTACCTATGTGAAACCATGGCTTGAAAGTTCCTCGGCTGTGAAAGCAGCGTATCGTTAATGCTTTTTAAAATCCTTAAGAGAATATGAGAGTATCGATAAAGCTATAGCAAAAGCTGCTTTGAAGAAATTTTGTCATCATTTATGGTATCTACATGATGAAATATCGATTCTCGAACTTTTTGATGACGACGGAAAGAATGGTCACAAATTTGACTGAACAAAATAGAACCAGTTTAGAAAAACGATGGATACCATCGATGGAAGTTCTTAACGGTGCACTTTTTGGTAAGTAATATTAAGACCTTTAAGTATTTTTTTTATACCCGATACTCAAAATGAGTATTGGGGTATATTAGATTTGTGGTAAAAGTGGATGTGTGTAACGTCCAGAAGGAATCGTTTCCGACCCCATAAAGTATATATATTCTTGATCAGCATCAATAGCCGAGTCGATTGAGCCATGTCTGTCTGTCCGTCTGTCCGTCCGTCCGTCCGTCCGTCCGTCTGTCCGTCTCCTTCAGCGCCTAGTGCTCAAAGACTATAAGAGCTAGAGCAACGATGTTTCGGATTCAGACTTCTGCGATATGTCACTGCTACAAAAATATTTCAAAACTTCGCCCCGCCCACTTCCGCCCCCACAAAGGACGAAAATCTGTGGCATCCACAATTTTAAGGATACGATAAAACCAAAAACGCAGAATCGTAGAGGATGACTATATCTTCTAGAGTGCAGAACCAGATCGTATAATTATTATAGCCAGAATCAAGAAAACAATTTTACTCTTTCTCGCTCTGTCTCTCTCTAACACACAGGTTTCATGGTCGGTTTTGCCAATTGCAAAATATGAGTTCAAGGATCTCAGAACCCATAAGAGCTAGAGCAACCAAATTTGGTATCCACACTCCTGTGATATCGGACCTTGACAGTTTTGTATCAAATTTCGACACACCCCCTTCCGCCCCCGCAAAGGACGAAAATCTGGGGCAACCACAAATCTCAGAGACTATTAAGGCTAGAGTAACCAAATTTGGTATCCGAACTTCTGTTAGACCTCACTATAAAACGTATATCTCAGAATTTCGCCCCACTCCCTTCCGGATTTTTTTATAGCCGAAAAGAAAAAAATCAATTTGCAGTGGCTACGCAGCGCCCGAAGTCACGCTCAGACTGATTTTCTGTCTCTCTCGCACGCACTCTTTGTCGTGTCGTTTAATATTCGCTGCGTTTGCCGGAGGAGAGCCATACTGACTAAGTATCGGGTATAACTGTAGAGTTGCGGTGTCCGCAGCAACTCACAACGTTCCCCCTCGTTTTTTTTGTTTTTTCTTCTTGGACGTTGACATGCAATGACTGCATCTTTCAAGAGGCAATGCAGTTACTGCAGCGTCAAGTGGCCCGGGTGAAACCAGCAGAAGGCTGTTACGCGCGGATCCCAGGCAAAACGCAGCGAATATTAAACGACACGACAAAGCGAAATGCGAACATGCAGGAAAGATGGTTGTTAGACTTATATTCGTGGAAATTAGCCCTACACTTACTAAGAAACTAAGCATGTGCTAATATGTGTGAGTGTAGGAAACTCTGTTGCATACGTTACATAAACCGTCTACAGTTTGGTCGTCGCAACTAGAACTTGAACCAGTTGGACTACGGAGTGGGTATCCTACTCTGGGTGGGTCTGAAGACACGGCGACAGCCTCTGATGATGGCGATGGAAGATGAGTGACAGGCAGCTATGGTACTGTTTCTGATACTGACTTTATTGATGAAATTGATTCTTATTTATAGGTAACAAAAGGTACAAAAGTGATGAGTCTGTAAAAATATATGTTTGTGTATTATGGTTAATTTCAGTGTCTGGGCAATTGCGACATTGTGATGGTCAGCAATTGCACCGCTGTCTTCGCCCTCTGCGGAGAGAGTGCATTGTCAGCAGAACTCACTGCAATGGCTAGTATGTTGTCGTGAGGTATTATATTACATGTTAAGCAGAAAAACGTTTGACGGTGTCACTGTGTTATGCCGACGGGTATTATAAACTATTTGTTGAGACAACGAGCTTTTTCGCTGACTATGATTGTTCAATAATTTCACGAATTATTAATTTCCGAAAACGTTATAAATTTTATTATAGGTATTTTGTGTGTTGAGGGTGGCCGAAGATGCCAGAGCCTTTTACAATAGTATTAGAGTGACACACTTGGATGAGGCAAGCGAGCCGATCTCGAGCCAAAGTAATAGATTGGGGACAAAAGGGTCTGTTCTCCAACTATATCAAGCGGTAACTGCTAGAGCAGGCGCAGCTGCTGACGGCTTAGCGACGGCATAGGAAAGAAAAGATAACAAGAGCGAGCATAGATAAGAATAGATGATTAAATGAGAGCATGTTGCTGAGCGAGCATAGATAAAGCTACGCTTACGTTACGTTAGTTTAGTATAATGACCAAAATAGAAAAGAAAGTGAATTGATAGGCAATAAAACAATGGTATAAAATTTACACTCGGGCTTCGCCCGAACATACTCCCCCCGTGGAAGGATCCATGCCTTTCACCTCATCTCGTAGAGGCAATAGACATAGTTTTGCAAGTGCTCTTCGGCTAACACCTGTAGCCATCCTGATCAAGGCGACTCGAGATACGCCATCAGCTCCTGGGATGAGCTCTTCAGAGGAGGGAAGTTCTCGTCCTTAACAAGAACGACATCATTGACGTGAAGCTCAGGATTCCGGGTGCGCCACTTCGTTCTTTCTTGAAGACTGGTTAAATACGATTGGCGCCAGCGAGACCAAAAGATTTGCTGAAGCTGTGTGACCTTCTGCCAACGGTCCAAGCGATCGACGTTTAAATGAACCAAGTCAGGCTCCAAGAAGGTTGTGATAGGGGCGCCAACTAGAAAATGGCTGGGCGTGAGTACATCGAGATCTGCAGGGTTCTCTGAAAGAGGAAACAATGGCCTTGAATTAATGATTGCACAGATATTGCACGCGAGAGTGCGCAGCTCATCAAATCCAAGAAGCGAGGATCCGAGGGCACGTCGAAGATGATGCTTAGCAAGCTTGACTGACGCCTCCCACAATCCTCCAAAATGTGGCGGTCTAGGAGGAATGAAACGCCAATCGATGCAATCGTTGAGAAAAGCTTGATGCACGGCTTCTTGATGACTGTCGCTTAGGAATAGCGACTTAAGTTCCGCCAGTTCGTTCCGCGCTCCAACAAAATTTGTGGCATTATCTGACCAAATACGAATCGGTCTTCCACGGGTGCAAATGAAACGGCGAAGAGCAGAGAGGAACGCAGATGTTGTAAGATCCTTCACAAGCTCGATGTGAACCGCCTTGGTGGAGAAGCATATAAAAATGCTC